CAGTTATCCAGGAAGTGCTTTAGGAGACTATGGTGTTCTTAGTTCGGTCAATGACCAGTGTTTTGGTTTGCTGAATGCTATCAGTTAGATGGTATCTTGGGAGAGGTACAGGCTACCTGTGAGGCTTCTGAGGATGTCTAGCAAAGAAGCAACTGCAGCTATCTGGAGAGGATGCGGAAGAGCTTGTAGGTAGCAGGGGAAAAATGGACGAGAAATTTCTTGACAATGGCCAGAGAGAAGTGTTTTGTATCAATCTCTCAGGATACCTTTACTAATCTGTATTATTCATCCAAGTTCTTTAAGTTGAGTTATGAGTTTCTGGAAGAGGCAGGTAGGAAATAAATGGGTGGAGGATGAAACCATGCACTGAGTTTGACCTCAGTGTGAGGCTAGAATGACGCTAGAAAAATTAGTGTCTGAGTTACCTGTGTATGCTGTGTGTCCCTGCAGCACCTCAAATCTCCTGGGAACCATTTCTTTCTGAAGGCAGGCAATGCCTCAACTAATCTGTAAGTTAAGCAGTTAGTCTCTCCTTATGTTTCTCCTCCTTCAGGGTGACACCTCTCTTAAGAATGAAATTAACCATGATGGCCAATTTCATAAAAAAAATACCCAGTACTGGATGTTTAATACTTGGTGTCCATAGCTTTTTTGTTTTTGTTAAAGGGTAATATTGAACTTTTTGTGGGGGTCCTAAAATCTTCCTGGAAGTTTGAAGGCCATTGCTCTAAGGGGTTCATAGCATGCCCAGATGTCAAGTCTTAAAAAACTGCTCTCCAAAATGTCACGTACTAGCCTAGCCATGTGCCCTGAAGACCACAGTAGTAATTCTCTTAGCTTCTAACAAAAAAAAAAAAAAAAAAAGAGAGAGAGAGAAAACTCCGGAACTAGTAATTCTCTAGTATACTATAAAAATCACCAATCAACAGACTCAGGGCAACAAACAGACAATTCTCTTTTTGTTTTTATAATTTTGGGAGCAGAAGGGGTCAAAGGAGCCATAAATTTGAAAACAAAACAAAACAAATTACATTAGCAACCGTCAGTGCCAAAAATAAAGTATTTTTCAGTATTCCAATATTTAAAACCCAAATCATCCTTTTAAGCTTGCTACTACATACCAAGTGAGAATAAGAGAAACAACCAAAGCTGTGTCTATGTGCCTCTGGGAAATTTTCATAAATAAAAGCAGATGATGTTGACATAAACTTTCCTCCCTCTAAGGGAGAACGCGATGTGACCTAGCTGTTCATCAAGTATTAGAATGTTTGGACTAAAATGCATTTAGAATTTTGGAATTTACTTCTCTCCTATTTCTTTTGTGTATGTCAAAGGACACAAGAGGATAAAATCAAAACCTTTTAGCTAGTAGCTTTTATCAAAATAAAAATGTTTAAAGAATAGCAGCAATGAAACAAAATATAAATTGGAAAACACTGGTTTAGTCAAGTTTGCATTCTGAACACATTTTGATAATCTCTCCTTTCTTCATTTCGACTAAAAAATTAGTCACCAAATTATTTAGAAACCATAGAGAAATATAGACTTTTGAGATGGAAGTGAAATAGGGATTGTTTAGTTTTAATATTAGATAAGATTAAAAGAATGGTATAAAGAGTAAAATATACAAACTTCCCTGACAATCTATGCTAGGATTTAACATCATTACCACTGAAGAGGGTTCTCTTTATGCTGTAGTTTAAATTCAATTCTGGTCTCTGTGGATGTAAGATGAACAAACAGAGAGGTCATTATCCCTGGCATGAGATCCTTTCAAATAGCTGATGGTAATTAGTGGTTCTCAAAAATGTTTGTCTCAAGACCCTTTTATACTTTTAGAAATTACTGGGGACTTTAATGAGGTTTTGTTTATATGAACTATATTTATTTGTATTTAGCATTTTAGAAATGAAACTGAAAAAATTTTAAATGTATGCATTTATAATAACAAACTCATAATATTTTAACATAATGAACATATTTTATGAGGAAATAATTGTATTTCCAAAAACAAGAGAAATTTAGTGAGAAGAGTGGCATTTCACATTTTTGCAAATTTCTAGAATGTCTAGCTTAATAGAAGACAGCTGAGTGCTCATCCTTGCTTCCGCATTATGTAGCCTCCAAAAACTCCACTATATACCCATGAGACAATGAATGTGATAAAGACAAATAATATCTTGGTATAATTAGGAAAATAATTTTGATCTGGATTCCCTGAAAAGAATTATGAAGAACCCCCAGAAATACCATTCTAAATTTAAAAATCCAATTTATTTTACCAGAAATATCCTCTATGCAACATTTTAATAGTGTCCCCGATTCTTTTTTGAACCCACTGTATGCTGCTTATTTCTAAAAATGAAAAATCCAAAATTTTGATGGGTATTTATACTTATGGAATTCCTTTTCTCTGATGATCTGAACGGAATACAATTTATTAATGGATAGTGGTTGCCTGGGGTTTGGAGCAAAGGAAATGAGGAAGTGTTGTTTAAATTGCACAAGATAAGTCCTAGAGATCTGCTGTGCAACAAAGTGCCTATAGTTAACAATACTGTATTGTACACTTAAACATTTTTTTTTTAAGATTTTGTTTATTTATTTGACAGAGAGAGAATGAGAGAGAGAGAAAGCACATGAGAGGGGGGATGGTCAGAGGGAGAAGCAGACTCCCCGCCGAGCAGGGAGCCCGCTGCGGGACTCAATCCAGGGACTCCAGGATCATGACCCGAGCCGAAGGCAGCTGCCCAACCAACTGAGCCACCCAGGCACCCTTAAACATTTGTTAAGAAGATTGATTCCAGGGCGCCTGGGTGGCTCAGTTGGTTAAGCGGCTGCCTTCGACTCGGGTCATGATCCTGGGGTCCTGGGATCGAGTCCCACGTCGGGCTCCCTGCTCGGCGGGGAGTCTGCTTCTCCCTCTCCCTCTGCCTGCCTCTGCCCCTGCTTGTGCTTGTGCTCTCTGTCTCTGTATCAAATAAAAATAAATAAAATCTTTAAAAAAAAAAAAAAGAAGATAGATTCCATGTGTTCTTACAATCAATCAATCAATCAATCACCACCTACTTCATTCAATCAGAATTGTCAAAAAAAAGGGTATGAGGAAAAAATTATTCTTCTGGTTAAGGTGAGGTCTCTTCTTTACCCCTTGGTTTCCATAGGTAGAATTTTCATAACCTTCCTATTGTCTCATCCCTAACAGAGGTGTAAAGGAAAAACCAGCTGCCTCCTCCCCCTTTCTTTCTGGAGCCAATCTGCATGTAGAAGAGATTATCCTCTAGTTCTGTTCTTGATGATCCAGACTCTGCATATGCAATAAATTGCTTGCCTGGGATAGGTAGGGCAGTAGGTTGGCCTGATTGTGGGGTTTATGACTGCTCTGCATATTGTTGATGAACATTGGAGCATGTCCTCCAATATGGTCTGTCGGTGTTTAATGCCCACATTCTAGCTCTGTGGCTTCATAACTTGGAGAAATGGGATATTATTTACTGGGTCTGTTGAACCCCAACATCTATGTTTGAGAGAACTAATAGGTAGTCAATTCTAGAATCTTCCATATGATGGCTACATGGCTCCCTAACTCCTCCTTACCTTCCAAGCCATTTATGAGACCCAGGCTAACATGAAGACTACATTTAATTCAGAAAAGTAGCCTCAATTTTAAAAATAAAAGACTTTCTGTGTGACTCTGCTATCTATGGGCAGAGAAGTCAGCAGGTTATATTACTTTTTTTAATTTTTATTTTTAACATAAACTACTGACTTTTAAAAAAGAGAAATACTGCTTCTAAAACACATTTTTTCTGGATTTATTTATGATGTGAGTTTGACATTGATTATTTCATTTGTAATTCAAAGATTTAAGTATTTTAAACAAGTAAAATTAGTGTATGTTACCTGAAATAAACCTAATTAAGAAGCAAATCCAGAAATGCTTTTCTTATCACAGAAAACATGAAGACTCAAAATCATTTAACATGGAAAACCATGAAAATGGCATTATTTCCTAGTTTTCCTGTTTTTGATTTGTATTATTTAAAAGTGTTTGTTTTCTACATAAAGCCTTTCTTTTTCACCTCATGTTCCCCAAGAGTTTGAACCCGAGGTGAATTCATAATTTTGTGATTATGACATCAACCCGTTGCTATGGGGATGTCTGTGATTTAACAAACAGAATCATAACAATAGTTCTTTGTACTGTTTAGCATTTTTCATCTGAAGATTAAAAAGTATTTTGCAAACAGCATCTCAATAATCCTAGCAACCTCCCTTTTAGAGTGTTTGCGGGAATTTTTCTTGCTCATAGATTGGAAGAACTGAGACAGAAACAGAAGCGGGATGTTTTACACAGATACCTACTGTCAGCATCTGAGCCTGGACCAGGACCCAAGTGTATTCTCACTAAGACAAACAGCACAGTAATTACTGTTATTTTATTATAGAATCACAAAGGTGTAATCTTTATGTTACAAATGCAAGCAGACAATTTCCACACTTGATAAAAGCATCTACCATGTGCGATGAAGCCAACCACACAACACATTTGTCTTTCATTTACCTGTAAGTTTGAATGTGATGTCTTTTTTGAGAACTTTGTACAAAGTGTCCTTGAGAATCTAGAAAACTTTCTAATAGTGACAGCCATTATCTCTAAGAAAAGTGAGCCGAAATGAGGAAAGTCATCTTAAACATTAACAGCGTATTCTTGGACCATTTTCTACAGGAAACAATCCTAAACTAACAAAGAGAATGTTCAGCTGGATTAGCAAAGGCAAACTTTTCCTGCTTTGATTTTCATGGTCCTATAATCCACACCAGATGTCAAATCCTGAAATTTAGAGTTCAGAATTTTGAACTATTGTCTCTAGTGAGATCATAAACACATTTTATGGAGCTGCTAAGTCACACATCAAAACAAAATTTTAACAAATCATCGTCTTAAAAGAGAAAACAAAACTAAGTGAACCAGACATGAACATACTTAAGAAATGTACCTTTGAACCATTTAACTTGAGGTGGAGGAATACCAGAGGTTTTACATTCCATAACTGTTGTATCCCCAAGAGCAACCAAGAGCTCACTCTGAACTACGATCAACTTTGGGGCTTCTGAAAAAAACAAACAAGCAAATGGTTAATGTCTGGCCCAATGCGACATGCACCTTGTTTATAATTACACTAAATGAACCAGTTTAACAAAATCCACTAGTGTTTATGTGCTTGTAGCTATTTCAATGTTTATAAACAGAAAGAGACTCTTCTAATGCACGTGTACATGGATGTGTGTGATGAGAAGATCATTTATCAAGGTCAAATATATATATATATTAGGCAAAAATAATTCTGATAAAAGAGTCAAAAATTTAGGATATTAACAGAAAGGTCCTTATAAAAAAGATATATAAAGAAAGAAAAATCTTAGAAATCTGAACACATCTTATAGAAATAACAAGTAATATAAAGGAACAGAGAGAAGACTGATAGTAATAAAAATATCAAAAGAGCTATGATGGTAAGACTGATTGGGCTAGATTAAGACTTGAGGATAATGTAATTACAGGTTAATTTGTTGTAACATTTTCTGCATGATTTTAAGGATATTCATGTTTAACTACAGAGAGAGTTGCAGTCTAAGACTAAAAGTTTTATCTATAAAAAGTAGAGTCTCCATTCCCTTTTTCCCTTTGATGCTAAATACAAACATTCTCTAAGTTTCTTTCCTCCCTTGCTTAATGCTTTCATTCACTCATACATACATTTTTCTCTGAACTGGGCATGTTAGGACTTTCTAATTTTAATTGAGGTAGTTTTAAACAAAGCTAAGAGTTAACTTCTCAAAGATCATGTTAATCCTCTGCTAGAAAAGCTCTGGTGATTTTATTTCATGATTCTCTAGTTTGGCTTTCAAAAATCATAAACTGGTGCAGAGCTTTCTTTTTTAACTTATCCTCCATAACGTTTCCTTTCCTATCACAAGGTACGAAGCTATGCTGGTAGTCCAAAACAACCCCTACTCTCTCCTATCTTCCTGCTTTTGCAAAAGCCTGAAATGCCCTTTGCCCTAGTTCTTTGAATCCTACTCATTCCTCCAGACTGAGTTTAAATCCTGTCTCCTCTGAGAAATCTTTACAAATTCCCCAGTCAGAATTAATCTTCCTCTCTGCCAACCCTCACTGTAGTACATGTCTGTCTGCTGTCTTACATTTCTTTATGTATAGCCACTCCCATTACACAAGTTCTCAAAAAGTAAGGACTTCATAACATACATTTTTTATTTTATATTCCACAATCTTTAGTATTTTTAGATACTCTGGGTGATTAATAAGGTAAATAAGTGGGTCAACTATTTTGGCTTGTGAATGAACCAAAATTCATTTTACAATTCAGAATCTCTTTCCACCCCCCTTTCTGCATTCCCACTGCCTATTTCCTCTCCAATCTTCCAAACTTACTTGCCATGTGCCTTCATTTTTGTCAATGAGACCATTTCTTTCCAGGCTTTCAGAGTCAATATTTATGACACTTTTGCTACCTCCCTCATATGTACATACCAACTACAATTCTCAATTTTTATTTTAGCTTTCTTCCTCTCTTCCACTTCCAGTTTCACTACCTTACCATGAATGGCAGGGTGGACCGTTAGCCATTAATTATTCACAATTTACAAACTAACATTGAGCATGTAATGCCCTTGTCCTTTATTTGTTTAAAAAAAAAAATTAAAAGAAATATTCTATTATATTGGAATATATGGAATACATTATATTAAAATAGATTACAATCCTGTTTTAGAATCTATTATAATCATTATGTTATGGAATATTATAGAATGATTATCATGAAATGCATCTTCAATAAATGTTTACGTTTGGAGGTGAAAAACTAAAGATGAAAAGTGAAAATAATATGTAGATAGGATAAATGACAGAAATGTTACAAACATTTAATCATAATAGAAATATTATAAAGTTTTGAATATAAGTGAAAAATATAAAATGGAAGTTGAGGTAAACTAGAAAGGATATAGAATTTATTAATATGTAAGCAAAATATTGCAAACAACAGAAAAACCATGGAAGGATAGAACTCTGTGGACCATCTGGGACTCTACCACAATCTGTAAGCCTCCTGGAGTTTTGTTGACTAATGAAGCTATCTACTCCCTGAACTTTTAACTTAAATTAGTTACAGTATTTCCTTTAATCAATGTGTGAAATGAATAATAAATCATAAGACTGGGTAAAACTCATTCCTAATATTAATTTTCAGAAAAGTACTTTTAAATTGCTTGATATGATACTCATCCTATTTTCACTGCCTTTTAAACTGATTATACTTGCCAATGTATCTGAGGGTAGAAGTCTGTTTGTCTGTTCCAGCTGAATTACTTGCCAGGCAACCATAGATCCCTGCATCTTTGGGAACTGCATTTTTGATAATTAAGGTACCTTCTGAGGTCATCCTATACCTAGGGATGAAAAGAAAAATTGAAAATACCCCAATAATAGTATGAAGAAACTATAGGATCTTCCTTACAAATATCTTCAAATATCTTAGACATATTTTTGGTGCTGACTGTAGAAATTATTAATGTTGTCATTTTATAAACAGAAATGTAGTAGTAGCAGTAGTAATAATAGTAATAGTAGTAGTAGTAATAATAGATCCCATGTATCCAGTACTTGCTCTGTGCCAAGGACTGCTCCAGAAATTTTACATAATATTTTAATACTCATAACAACCCAATGAGTTACATACTATTATCATCTCTGTTGTACGGATGAGCAAAGGGATTATGTAACTTGCCCAAAGGCAGTTAGTAAATGGAAGAAGTGGAATTTGCAACCAGGCAATCACACTCTGTGTGAATTGTTATGCTAAAAGTTCCACCAAATGCAAACCTGAGAGATGGCAATACCTCCTGTCACTCAGAAAGTCAGTGGTGAGTCTAGGAATAGAATCTGGCCCTAAGCCCTCGTCCTCCTCAAAACCCAGAGCAATGGAAGTTCAATAGCTGGAAACTTCCTTGTTTGTGTTCCACATGTTCATTACACTCTTTGCGCATGAGAGGATTCACTGTCTTTTGAAGTCATCCAGCAGATAAAATACATCTCAATCTAGTACGGCAAAAGTGAATAGGAATTGCAAAGAAATGTCTGCACACATTTTAATTAGAGCTACTGTTCTGTCCTTTGCCTCCTCTCTCTCCTGTTAAATCCCAGGACCATATTTTTAATAGATTCATGAAAACTACACATTACCCCACAGAAAGTTTACTATCCTCATTTCAATTATTCAAGGTAAACCAAGTGTTATGGTGTCATGTTTGCGATGCCAAGTATTGTGAAGCTCTTAGGCCCAGCTATTAAATGCAAGATTGAAGAACATCAAACTCTGTCAATTCATCATTTATTATTTTATGGCCATTTCCTGGCCTATTTAGAAAATCTAAAGCTGTGGATTTTGGTCAAAGCTCCCTTAACCTTAGGGATTTAGTCACATTAGTTTTGTCCAACTTTAATTGGTTTTTCATCAACACTTCACTCAGTAAAAACAAAGAACATGATACAAACCCAGTACCTGTGTGAACCCATGATAAACATATCATTAATGGTCCAGGTGATCTTTGGTTTGGGATAACCTGTTGCAGAACACCTGATGGAGACCTCATATCCTCCTGTGAATGACTGATTCTTGGGCATCACAGTGACTTTGGGTGGTTCTGCAAATAGAAAGAAACATACATAGTGAAGCGGCAACTTACCTTGATGTTAGGAGCTTTCTGTGTTAGCAGATTTGTAGGCTTCTCACCACACCATTATTTTATTTTATTTTATTTATTTTATTATTATTTTATTTTATTTTGTACTTCCAAGAATTCATTTATAAAAACAACCAAGTTGCAGTAGGGCTTAGGAGATTTCTTCGCCAAAGCTGACAGGAGTTGCAGACTCTGCTCCCCTGTTCCCTATGGCCCAGGCTGCACAAGACTGGGAGTCTTGGTCCCTCCAGAGCCCCTCTTTTCCCTGAGAGCCTGATGCATGCTGTGGCCAGGGCCCAGGAGCCTGCCTCTACCCTGCAGGTTCAGGGTGGAGGGCCTTACTTCTGGCCATTTACCCCGATACCTTGCAGCTCAGACCAGCCCTGTCAGACCATCTGAGCCCCAGGCCTACTCCTACTTCCAGAACCTGGATGCCTGAGAGTGGATGAGGCCCTGCCCTCAGGGCTTGGGAAGGGTCTGGCTAACTCTCCTCTGGGGGACATCAGGGGACTGGATCTGAGGCCAGTGCCAGGAGGGGCCTGAATGAAAGCCAGGGGAGCTACAGGAGCAAGACACAGTGATATTTGGCAGCTGGGGCAGGGGAATGGGGGAAGGGGTTTCCTCTGTCCATTCTCTAGCCAGGTCCTGCCTCCCAGCCATCCAGCCCCACAGTCCTGCTCTGCCCCATGGCCTTGGTTACAAGACTGGCCTTGCAGTAACTCCATTCTCCTGGAGTGTCTTGGACATGTGGAAGAAGGTGGTCCTCATAGCCTGGGGACATCAGTCATAGTGAGGCCACTGGTGGGGATGGCATCCACCATCTCCACCTGGAATGTTCCTGAGAGGAAGAACTCCCTTTTGGGGTCATAGAAAGAGAAGAAGGTGGGGTACACCACAGAAATGGTGGGCACCTAGACCTGAATTGCGAGGTAAAAGCATCTTTCTTGAAAGGTAGCAGGTCCAAATTGTCCTTCTGCAAATCCTCAGGGTAGATCCACATTTTGTGGTTCTTGCTGACCATGTGCTGGCCCATGTCAGACATCACAGTCAAAGTTTGTCCTGGAGCACTGCCAGTTGATAAAGATGTCCCCGAGACACATGATCAGGTCTACAGGCCCCACGAAGAGAACTCCTGCTTGGTGATCCACACATAGCACTTGTAGAGGGCCTCCAAGAGGCCCATCATGTTCAGGACACTCTGGTGGTTAGAAATGATGACACAAGGATGGTTCACTTCCAGGTTCTGGTGGCCCTCTGTCTCAGCATGAAGGCCGTATATGTACTTGAAGAACTGGACAAACCAACTGACAATATTCATGTTCTCCACCATCTGAGTGTGTTACTGCAATAGGTCTTAGTGGAGAACGTGAAACAGAGCATTCAGTACAAGGTGATATTGGCTTAGAACTTGGCCATGCAGCTCAGCCGTATGAGCAGCAGCATGGTGGTCAATCACGGCAAGAGCTCCATGGCCAGGGCAGCACTGGGACCACATACCTGCAGAAGCACCCTGGTAGATCCAACTGTGCTGGCCTCAAGCCCCCTCCCTGGACTCTGGCCCAGAAAGAGCTCTTTAGATGACCTTTATCAGGGATCTAGCCCAATTAGTACAGGGAAGGAACCAAAGGAATTTGATTTATTTATTTTTTTAGCATTTTATTTTTATTTTTAATTTAAATTCAATTAATTACATATCATGTATTATTAGTTTCAGAGGTAGAGTTCAGTGATTCATCAGTCTTATATAATACCCAGTGCTCACTATATCCTGTGCCCTCCTTAATGTCTATCACCCAGTTACCCCTTCCCCCCTACCCCAATCCTCTCCAGCAACCCTCAATTTATTTCCTATGATTAAGAGTCTCTTATGGTTTGTCTCTCTCTCTGATATCATCTTGTTTTATTTTTCCTTCCCTTCCCCTATGCTCCTCTGTTTTGTTTCTTCAATTTCACATGAGTGATATCATATGATAATTGTCTTTCTCTGATTGACTTATTTCGCTTAGCATCATACTCTCTAGTTCTATCCACCTCACTGCAAATGGCAAGATTTCATTTTTTGATGACTGAGTAATATTCCATTCTGTGTGTGTGTTTGTGTGTGTGTATCACATCTTCTTTATCCATCTACTTTATCTAAGTAATATTCCAGTGTATGTGTGTGTGTATATATATATATGTATATACACTACATACAACATCTTCTTTATCCACCCATTTATGGACATCTGGGTTCTTTCTATAGTTTGGCTATTGTGGACATTGCTGCTATTAATGTTGGGGTGCAGGTACCCCTTCGGATCACTACATTTGTATCTTTGGGGTAAATACCTAGTAGTGCAATTGCTGGGTCATAGGGTAGCTCTATTTTCAACTTTTTGAGGAACCTCCATACTGTTTTCCAGAGTGGCTG